TGTCAGCACAGAGCCCGATTCTAGTCTTGAACTCATGAGCTGTGAGATCATGACCTGAGCCGAAGTCGGGCACCCAACTGACTGAACCACCCAGGCGCCCCAGCCAAGGTCTTATTTAATTTGTTGGGTGCCATTTCTAGGTTCTGTCTCCTCTACCTGAAAATACCTTTATCTGCGAGTCACTGAAATGCAAACAACAAACTCAAGGCATGCAGGCCACAGGAGGAACTGAAGCTGATCTCTCAGAGTCCTGAGCCAGAAAGCCATCTTGCAGGAAGGGGTCTTCATGACCCAAGGGAGGGCAGGATCCAACAGGAGCTCTTCAGCTCAACCCCGGAGGACATCCAGCCTTGTTGAAGGAGTCACAGATCAAGGGCACTAACCCTTCCCTCACTTCCTACTTGGTCATCGCCCCAACTGCCTCTCTCCAGGGGTACATCAAATCCTTATCAGGACTGAAGGGTGAAGAGGGAACAACGATGGGGGAGGTCCTGATGGTTTGCGAGAGAGGCTCTGTTGTCTCCAGTTAGGTCTGGGGAGAGAAGACACCCAAAGGGTAGAGGGAATGGTGGAACCTTAAGAGAAAAGGGCCCCAGCAGCACCAATGTGGAGTTGAGAAGCTGTTCACCCACATAACCCTTCGACTGTGATCCCACTGGGTCCCGTGAATGTGCACTGAATTCAACTCCAAGGAAAAAACGCTGAAAAACACCACTGATTTTCATTCTGTGGACACAGAAGAGAAGAGTGAAGAAGCTACAGATCAGGCAAAGGTTGGACACTTAGCCATGTCACTAGTAGTTGTGTGTGACCTTCCTTCACCCAAAACTCATTTTCTCAGCTGCAAAAATGAGACGGATAATCATTAAGCCACCCTTCATCAACCAGTAGGAGAATTACATAAGCACATGAGAAGCACTGAGAAAACCGTGAAAATTATTATATTATTATTACTATTATTATTAAGAATGATAAGATCAACGTTTTCGAGCCTCAAGCCTGTGCTTCAGCTGCTGACAAGCATGAATCCCATTGACCCTCCTGCCACCCACCCTATTCACAGAAAGTGAGGAGAGGGGAGCGCCACACCAGGGTTCTTTCTCGTTTCTGTGACCCGCACGGGGATACACCAGCCATTTCCACCACGCGGGCAGGAAATGTGGACCGGATGCCCACGCATCCATTCCCTCCTCCCTCGGCTTACCTCTACCCCATACACACCTTCGAGCAAAGGATTTCCACCCAGACAGCTGCTTCCCACTGGCAGCACAGCCTTACCCCTCCTTCCTCACCTGGGTTTCTTCCAGCAAGGCGCAGCCATCCAACTCCACATTCCAGTGCGCTCCCCACCGGTGCGCTCCCACCCACCGACCAAGGCGCACCCTGAGCTAAGACTCCTAATTACTGGCCAGGGTCAAAGTCTCAGGTTAACTCAAACAGTTACTAAATGTGTTACCGCGCTTCCTGCATTACCTCCCAAATACCTAATCCCAGCGATGAGGAGGGTTCCAGAACCCCCCGCCCAGGCTCCTTCTCAGGTCAATCTTCAGAGAAGCATGTAATGACCCTTTAGCCTACAAGATAAATTTATTTTTTTTTTAATGTTTTATTTATTTCTAGGAGAGAGAGAGGGAGACAGCGTGAGCAGGGGAGGGTCAGAGAGAGAGGGAGTCACAGACTGAAACAGGCTCCAGGCTCTGAGCTGGCAGTCAGCACAGAGCCCGACGCGGGGCTCGAACCCACGAACCGCGAGATCATGACCTAAGCGAAAGTCGGATGCTCAACCGACTAAGCCACCCAGGCGCCCCGATAAATTTAAATCTCCATTTCCCACAGCCCCCCTCATGCTGCTCATTCAAAACACAGCTTGAGGCACAAACCTTCCCCAGGACGGGAATACTCCTCACAGACCTGTCTCTTCTTCCAGGACTTCTTCCACAAAGCAACTCCTGCTTAGCCCTAAAGATTCTCCTCAGACACTCCTCCTTCTGCGGTTGCTTCCCTGAGGGGAATCCTCCTCAGTGCAGAGTAGCCGGAACATACCCCCCTAACAGCCTCACCCCCCACACGTGCTCCTCAAAGACAGGCACTGTGTCCCCTCATCTTTGTACCCCCAGCCCCAACCCATCCGCGGTTCACTGGAGGCTGGCTCCAGAACTTACCGCTATGTGCTATGTGCTCCGTCCCCTGCTTCTCCGGCCTTGGCCAAAGACCCACCATCATGGCGGCATCGTAAGCCACAATTCGGAAATCAAATCCAGTTTGCCTTTTCCCCCTTTCCCATTAATCAGCGCCAGGGAAACAGCAAAGTCAAGTCACATATTAACACACCAAGAGTCAAAGTTCGGGGCTGTCATTTTGAGCACATCTCTAATTAGCCATGTGACCTTGGGCAAAGGTTCACATGAAGATGACCATGTGTCACCGGGCCCAATTCTCCAAGGACTTTTTTGCTATCCAAATGGAGTGTCTGATGGGAAACTGTTTAATAAGGTGCAGAGCCCTGTACGTTCATAAAGGGCATAATGAGCAAATTTTATCAAATCTAAACCAGCAACTGTACGATGTATCATTATCAACTTAGAATGAAAAACTGTTCAGCTATGACACATCTGTGATTAGAAAAGAACCCAATTTCAGTCATGTTAAAATGTGAAGTGTGTTTTGGAATTGGTGAAATAAGACGTATTTGTCTCAGTGAAACACAGAAACCCGCTACAAATTTCTCACATTGGCCAATGGCCCATGAGAGGTACTCAGTAATATATGCGGAGTAAATGAATGAACACCCACTGGGAACACCCTTGGGCCAAACTACTGCCTCTCGGGCTGGACCTGGGCAGCAAAGAGGCTTCCCCTTGCCAGTCCCTCCTCTTCTCAATCATGTCCCAGCCTGATCAACACCCTCAAAAGAGGACTTCAAGTCAGATCCAAACTCCCTTCATAACGAAGCCTCCTCTCCACCAAGCACTGCCTGGAAGGGGCTGCCATCCCAGAGCAGTGACTTCTCCATCAGAATAGGTCGCCACAAAAAGGGTCCTCCTCAGTCCCAGCCAGAGTAGCCAGCTCAGAAGCTCGGTTCTCCTCCCTCGGCCTATCCCCAAAGCCAACTCCAGGCCCACCTACAGCCTGGGAGAATGCCTGCCCCAAAGGCCCCGGCCTATACACTCAACCAGTCAGTCAGCAAACCCCAACTACGTATCTCCCATCTACAGTCTATGTTCTAGACTATAAAAGCCCGGGTGTGGTGGCTGGGGGACTGCCTCCCAAAGATTAAATGCAAGATACAGGCTCTTGCCTTTAATTGACCCCTGGTGCTGGCAGGAACCTGGAAGCAGGTGGGCTGGCTGTGGAACCTGGAAGCAGGTGGGCTGGCTGTGGAGTGGAGAGAAAGTTGTTTGTAGTTCTGGCCCCCCACCATCCACCATTACTCACTGCTGGCTCCAGAACTAGCACTCCCCTCCTCTGGCCCTTTGTGTTTGGTTTCCTGCCTGTAAGAGTGTGGGAGGGTGAGGAATGGAGGCGGGGGTGGGGGCATTGAGCTACTTCCCCCCCCCCCCCCCGTCTACTTAAAGTCTTCCTTAAAATGCAATTTTCTGGGAAAGGCAAGCCATTAAGTCACTAACACCTTAGTGAGAATGAGTTTCCTTGGGAGGCAAGCAATTGAGAAAAGGGTACTGGAAACAAAGTTAAGTGAGTCTGGTACTAGGGAAGTAGCTCAGAGATGACCCTAAATTTTTACATTTTGTGTTGGAGGCAGCCGGAAGGCAGTGGATCCCTGGGAAGGGAAGAGAAGGGAAGTCAGAGACCTTTCAGATCCTGGAGCACTCCAAGTCCCAAAGGCGGAGCTCTGTAGAGTCAAGCACAATTCCAGTGCTCATCTCGACTCATGCCCCCCCCTCCATCCACCCCGTGCCCCCAACACAGCCACATTTACAGCTTCATCTCCACTCTCCACAATTTATTTAGTCTTCTTGGGTCTTCATCCCCCCCCCCCCCCGCCACCCCGCCCCAATCCCGCGCAAATGGCCTTCCTGTCTCTGGCGGGCTTCAGAAAACCCCCAATCTTTCAACGCCTTGATCGAGCCCGACCCCTCCAAAGAGGGAAATCAAACTTTCTTCATGCCTCTCCCCCACCCGCGGCACTCCGCACTTTATCCTGGGTCTGGTTGGGCACCCCGGTCGACTGAGCACTCCCTGAGGGCAGGGCCTGGGCCCCAACGGCGTCTCAGACCCCGCACACCCACCCAACAGAGCGCCTGGCACACAGTGAGTGCTGGAGAAATCCTTGCAGAGAAGGAACCAGGAGCTGAGAACCATCTATGTCGATTATGGCTCGGCCTCGAGAGAGTGACCCCGGGGAGGCCCTCCTCGTCCCCGGGCCTCAACTGCGCCGACTGTAAAATGGGGGAACTTGAATGACTGGGTGCCTAGGCCCTTTTCCACTGTGACAACTGAGATTCCGCGAAAGCTCCGAGCGGCTGGGTGTGGCCCCGCCCCCTAGACGCCCAGAAAAGCCCGGGCAGGGGGCGCTCAGGGAAGGGCTCCAACCCCGCCCAGTCCCAGGTCGACGCTTCCCGAAAACTCGGGGTCCCCCTCCCCCATGCGTGCACCCCGTGATTGCGCCGCGGCGGGCACTTCCGCACCGCGGGCCCTGCGGCCCGGGCTGGGCGCGCGCTCCGCGCCCTGCGCCCCGCGCTCCTGCCTCCCGGGAGGCGCTCGCGCCCGGGGAGGGCCGGGGGTTCCCGAGGCGCCCGCGAGCGGAGGGTGGGGGGAAGGAAGGAGGATTTGCAACAATACCTCGGGGAGGAGGCGGCCGGGGCAGCGGCGGCGGCGGCGGCGGCAGCGGCTGGAGGCGGAGGCAAAGGCGAAGGAGGAGGTGCCCGGGCACTCCCCCTCCCATTGTCCCCGGCCCCGGACAGGCCCGGCCCCGCGCCCCGCACCGCGCCCCGCGCTCCGCGCCCCGCGCCCCGCGCCCGGGCGGTGCAGCCAGCCCTTACCTTGCAGCGCCCGGCTCTCCCTTCCTTGCTAAGGCTACTTATCCCGGGAAAGCTGGCGCGGGGGCCGGGAGCGGACCCACAGACAAAAAGTGAAACTTCGGCAGTGCTGGAGCTGCTGCTGGTTGGTGCCTTTCCCCTCCTTCCTCCCCACCGTCCCCACCCCCTCCCCTCGGGCTCCCGTGCGGTGCCCTGAGAGCTGGAGGCTGACGTCAGGGGCCTGAATTCCTGACTTTGCCTGCACGCATTTGTCCATGTAAGGTATGGGAAAGCGTGTGCCCGCGGGCCGCCGCGCAGCGCTCGCCAGGCGGGGGGGGGGGGGGCGCCGCCCGCCGGGGCCGCGGCTCGGCCCGAAGGTGGGCGCACCGAGGGCATGGTACTTCCTGGGAGGAAGAGGAGGAGACGCGGGGATGCAGGGAGCTGGCAAAGGAGGAAGGAGCAGAGGGAGGTGTGGAGGCTTTGCCTGCACTGGGGGGAGAGGAAGCAGACGTAGAAGGAGGAAGCGGCTGAGTGGAGGGGCTGCTGAAGGAACGGGGGGACCCGTGTCTACACTGGAAGCGCCAGTATAAGGCACTGAGCCTAGCAGAAGGGAGCCTGCCAAGGAATCCCCTTCTCGGACCTTGTTGCTGAGCCTCGCCCTGGAGTCGCAGCAACACTCAGAACCTACCAGATGGGAGAGCTGGCAGAGACCAACTTCCCCAGCCCGCTCCCTTCACTCCGGAGAAAACTGAAGGCCTGGGAGCAGAAATGACTTGCCCAGGGTCATACAAGAATTGGACCCGGATGCTTAGTCTCCCAGGCAGGTTCCTGCCGCCAGATAGGGCCCTGACTCCCTTTGTCCCACTGAGCACTGAAGCAGGCTACGTGTCCGGAGGCAACACTGACCACCCCCCACCCTGGGAAGAGCTTTCCAACTTCTCTGGGCCCCGGAGTCTGTTCCTGGAAGGTTCTGATTGACAGTGAGCCGAGTGGCAATGACAATCAGTTGCTTCAGGGCAGCTTCCTGTGTCCCATGCTCGATGCAACCCCTGCAGTTTACTTCCCAGCCTTGTCCGGAAGCCCAGAAAGCTCACTATGTGCTTACAGCTTAAAAAGAAAAAAAAAAAAAAAAATCTGTGAACTGGGTGAACTGGTTTGAACAGAGGCAAGCCTTTTCTTGGAAGTCTTGAGTCGGACTTCTTTCCCTGTGACATTTGTAAATATGAGCAGCCATGAAAACCACCATTTACTTTGTCAAAAGGTTGTAATGTCCAGCAGCTGTTCGGAGGCTCTGGACTTAGTTTCCTTGTATTTCTGGCCTCCTGATATCTGAAATAATAATCCCTCACCTTAGCACAACATAAAAGTGCTTTCTCAGAGGTTCATTAGGCCTCTGTGTTAGGTGGGACAGATTGTTGTCTCTCCTTTATCTCTGAGGATAAAAACAGGTAAAGTGATTGGCCAACACAAAATGAATGACTGAGCAAGCACACAAACTCACCTCCCCCCATCCAGGTCCTGTGACTAATCCTGAGGTGGCCCCCCACCCACGCACCTAATAAGGAGGCCTTGGACCCCCTGACAGGACCTAATTCCCATTCATGAAGGTTGACAGTACCTCCTCCTGAAACTTGGTTCCTCTTGGATTTGAAAGGATTTTTTTTTACCAAGATTTAAAGAAGTGACTGTAGAAACACATGTCATTGCATGTACTGTTTACTGAGCACCTTCTTTGTGCAAAGTCCTTGGACCAGACATTCCTGGGCCCAGATTACATAATCTCTCTTCCTCTTAAGTCTCATCTACACAGGCAAAAACTGAAAATGGTAGCAGAGATAAGGTTAAGAATACCTAGGCCATGCAGTAATGAAGTGGGTATTTTTTCCCAACTAAAAGTCTGAAATAGGGAACACGAGCTCTTAAAAAGAGATTTTTGTCCCGGGGCTTTCAAGAGATCAGATCTTACTACAACACAATTCACTTACTCTATCTTCAACATTTCGGCAAACCCATATTCTGAGTACTGTCATTTAATAGGAACAAATCCTGGGATCACACAAAGTAAGAATGGGTCCACCCAGTCCCCATCCAATATAACGGGACTTGACCAGCATTTCTTTTTTCTTTTCCCCAGTAACCCACTTGTAAAGAATAACAGGGTTCTAATGAGGATTAATAAGATTTAATAAGGTATAATTAGAGTCATTCATTTCCTCCATCATACACAGTATAAGAGTGTTGTGTGGGCTCCAGAATTGCTACTAAGAATATTGACTGTTTTTTGGGTATGTTGGGGAAGATCACCATGTTTCCCCTCTGAAATATTTATGAGCTGCTCAGGTGGGCATGGAGTTAGCACAAACTCCATATAAAGTTAATCAAAAAAGATACATTTTGACTCATGAGGCACTCCCCAGGAGTATAAAAGGCAAAGTGGTAAATTGGATGCTTGGCCAGGGGCACGTGGTGGTGTCGTCGATGCAAATCCAAGTCAAAGGCCTCGTTCTCATTTGCTGATCTGGTGTCTTTTGTATTCTCACTTCTCTCACCATCGCCATTAAAACCTGATGTGTCCCGGGCTTAAGAGAGAAGGAAACATTGTGTAAGTTTGCAGACTCAATGCCAGAGAAACACAGGACTACCAATTCAGAGACTAAAAGAAGCACTCGGGGTTGGGGTGGGGGGTGGGGTGGCAGAGGTCATGTGACCTGAGGATTGCACACCCTACAGAAGGATTCTCATTGTTCCAGGGATGACACACGAAACTTTGAGGAAGGGTCGGCTGTGGACCCGCTGCACCTTTGCGTCCACTACAAACCCCTCACCCAATGGCCTCTGGGGAGCTCATGGCAGTCCGGGTTTCATGCTTAGGATATGCTAGGCAGCATTCTAAGGATTTTTCATACGCATTCTATTTAGCCTCACCAAACCTTTCTAAAGTTGGCATTATTCTTTCCTGTATTTTGCCCTTTTGCCCACCAGGAAAGTAAAGCCCGGGGAGGTTAAGTAGTGTCCTCTTAACCTCTTAACACAGAGCGAGGACATGAGCAAGCGGGGATTCCCCACTGAGTCCAGGCAGCCAGGCAGTTGGCTCAGCCGCTGGCAGGTGACCCTCTGGTCTCAGCGGGAAAACTCCGATGTGCAGAACTCATAATCCCCCACGGCTGAACAAGAGGAACAGCTACGAAGAGGCTCCTGGAGAAATACTAAGGACAAGAGGGGCTTGGAAAGTTGGAAGGTAAACACCAACCTGATGTCGCCTCCTCCCAACTTCAAGTGTTCAGGCCAAACTCCTTGACGTGGTTTGCACAGCCTTGAAGCCTCCATTCTGCCAGCCCTTCCCTGGCCACCCCCTTCCAGCCAACTGAGGCCTATTGCTTTTCCAAACATCTCTTACCTGTCTGTGCTTATCTGCCTTTCCATGGGTTCTTCTTGCTCACAGGAGTGCCCTTCCTTCTCCACCCACCTGACAACCCGTAATTACGTAACCCCTTCAGACTCCCTCAAATATCACCTCCCCTGAGAGGCCTTTCTGCCCCTACAGCCACTTTCGGTGAATGCATTGCCCTTAACGGTTGTTCCTGTCACTCTGCTTACCCTCAGTCCATATGGCCTCGGATTATGTCATCGGTCATCTTGTCTTTCTCTGCTGCCAGACTGAGTCTAATTTGTCTGGATCCTGAACACAGTGCCTTGCCTTGACCATTGTAGACATCTGTTTCTCCCCCTCCTCCTTCTCCCACCTTCCTCTCCTTCGCCTCTCCCCCTGGAGCCCCCCTCACCCTCCCTTGCCTCCTCCTCCTTCTTCCTTTTCAAAGGCAAGATGATGGAGGAGGTATAGGTTCTAAGTGTTTAAATTAAATCAGACCAGGGCACCCGGGTTGTTCAGTTAGTTAAGCATCAGACTCTTGGTTTCAGCCCAGGTCATGATCTCACAACTCATGAAACATGAGGTCATGAGACAGCACGAAGCCCTCTCTCTCTGCCTCTCCCCTGTTCTCTCTCTCTCTCTCTGTCTCTCTCAAAAATAAACTTTTTTTTTTATTTTTTTAAATAAATAAATAAATAAAATCAGACAACTTCTTCAAGAGATGAGGCCTGGATATAAGCAGACCAAAAGAAGGGAGAGGAAGAGTAAGAAGAGCCTGACTACAACCATTTGGAAGTAGAACCATGATTGGCACAGGAAGGCAGTAGAAAGGAAGACAGAACTCCTTTCTTTGCCCTAAAATTGCTGTGTGACTTCGTGGTAAGTCACTTCCTCTCTGGTCTCAATCTCTTTATCCATACAATTGGGTGCTTAAATTTGGAATTCTCCCACACTCTCCCAGCTCTTTGATTCAACACTGCTTTCAACCTATTGACCAAATTCATCTTCTCAAAGGGTAGTATGCCACATTATACTCTAAAACTTGTAAAGATTCCGTGATATCAACTGCATTAAGTGCAGACTCATCAGCTGCCCCTTCCTGGTTCTGTGATCAAGCTGTGCTGGGCTTTTCTACTGACCACACCTCCAGGCCTCCACCATCACCACCACGTACGCGCACGCGCATGCGCACACACACACACATGCACATAGAGCTTGCACTACTTGCTTCCAGGTCTTTCTCATTTAGTCTCCTCCTGAAATCCCATCCTGGGCCCATTTCCACAAATGCAGATTTTACCTCTCCTGCCAGCTCCCTCACAAGCAATCTTCTCTGTGTGGCTCATTCCTTGCAAACTTTCTCCATTGATAAGAAAATGATTGCTCTATGTTCTAGACAAGGTATGTACTTGATGTCCCATCACATCGTAAATTTTGTAGGTGTTTGATCTCTTCGTCACAAACATAAAATCCTTTGCAGTAGGCTTCTTATGTTGTTCATTTCTCCTCCCCAACAGCCAAGGCAGTACTTAGGACTTATGACCAAATGCTGTCCAGGGAGTGCATGAGTGAATCCTTCATCTTGGCTAGAAAAGCAACAGAAATGATGCCCTCCTCTTGGAAGATTAGTCACATTATCTTAGGCCAGGACTCTGGACAGGCAGAAGGGGAGGGTTATTTGTCATGTGTTACAACATGCCCTGCGTGCGCAGATCTAGGCCTTCCCATATTTAGCATATATAAATTTTATAAATTAGTTAAGGATAGAGTTCTG